TCAAATTCATTTTCGAATTCAGTTTGTTTTTTATTTTTCATAATTATTTTAATCTTATATGGTCCTCTTTTATATCTGGATTTTTTTATAAGTTTTATCAGTCATGATAATAGCTATAATAATTCTTTAGGTCTTAATTGTATTCTTTTCATATTATGGTGACTTAAATATAATTATCATACTAGGGGTATTTTAGGTAGTTCCATTTATTTAGAATAGTCAAAGGCCATTTTGAAATTATGCCCTTTTATTTAGGCTATTTGTATATATTTCCTCCAATTTATAGAAATGAAAAGGAAAACATAAAATCTCTTGTGGGATTCCAAGTAATTTTAGCTAACAAGTGTTATTGTATGTGTTGACCCCCGAAAAATGTGACGCTTACCTGGACAACAGATGTCAGGCCTATTCACGCTAACTCAAGCAAATTTCGACGCGTTTTGATACTCACCAGTAAGAAACGGGGTGAACGTGAACGCGGGAGATGCTTCAGGTGTGAGACAAAAATGTTCGAGTATCGACGAGTGGAATAAAGATGATTGTGCTAACAAAAATCACCAATCGAATACCAAATTAAATCAATAAAAAGATCAAACTAATGTATATGGAAAAAAAAAAAAGATGATATGTATAGAATTTGTAAGATCATTTGTATTAATAAGGATCAAGGGTTCAAGAGTCTAAAGTCCAAAAATCCAACCCTTTTTCAGTTACAAGGATGGCTTATTTATAGTGCTTTGGCCGACATGGTGTCTGTTGGATCAGAACCACCACGTCGGCCTCATCTCCTTAACCGAGGATTCACATCATTGTCTTTCATATAATAAATGCATTGACAATGTGTCAGTCGCTCTATACAATAGGCTGACACACCTTATATTCTTTATTAAGAACGTTACATCAATCATTTCTAAAGATTATTCAAGAATCTTGTAAGAGACAGCTTCAACCTCATGAGTTTCAGGTGAATTAAAGGCCTCGGAGGAAGGTCCTCCGTGTGAAGAGCTTCGGCTACTTCTATTTCTTTATGCAGCGATTCAGATTAACGCATTTCAACCGTTTAGGCAATGCTTCGGCTTAAGAGTTTCAGCCATTCATATAATTTCTTCATCATTGATCATTGGGTCTTTGTTGGTGAGGCGTAACAATAGTTCCCTAAGTCTATACATGATTATTTATGTAATGCATGGACTTATATATATACGCATGAATTTTTTTTTTGTTAAGGGTGATTTTTACCATATCACAATGTGCTTTGTTTTGAAAATCATATCATATAATAATTATAACGTACATTGATAATAAACAAAGAAAATGCAAAGTTAAAGTTGTTAATTAAAAACAAGTATATTAGAAACTTGTTGAGTTATATGCTAAAAATTGAGACAAAATATGAACAGTAAAAATAATCAAATACATATTTTTTTAAAAATGAAACTTTTTGTTAAGGGTTAATTTGACATTAATATATGTTATTTTATGAATACTTTAAGGATAATTATGTTACCACCACAAAATTTACTTACTACACCACAATTAAAATATATTTTTTAATAAATGCACCACAAAATATTTACAATTATACTCCTAATCCAATAAAGAAAAATATTGTTGAGTACTCACCATCTTAATATTACTCTTCATTTTTTTCGTTGATATACATCTCTTGGAACATATTCCATTCTCTTCTCATTTCCACTCTTTCCCATTGTACACAAATACATTGGTATCTCCAAAATAGTTTCATCATGAGGGTGAAAGTCATATATATCGTTCTGATATGGGTTTCAATTCTTTTTTTAGAATTCAAACTTCTTTGTTTGATAATTGAGTTT